GGAATGCCTTTAAGACACAGACAGTAGTAATGTTTCTAATAACTGTTGAGCTTTTTTCTTTGGGCACTCTTTATTTCTGCCCTTTTTTAAAAACCCAGCTATTAAACTTGCTTGGCAAAATAATGTGTTCTATTATGCTCGTCCTGAATCATGTCATGGAAGCTTGCCCACTGTTTGACAAATCTAGCTAGGCAGCCATGTGTAAGTAGACTGCTTGGTTTTCATTAAGTAACTGTACTTCTCTGCCTAAATTTTAATCTAAGTCACCAAATCTTTCCAGTTGCCAGCAAAACTGTAACCATCTTACTTAAAATAATGTATTGATAGTGGTAGCCCAAAAGTGAACCTGGGGTAGTTCTGCCCAGTAGTAGTTTAATAACTCTTGACCTGAATATTAATATAACCTCCTTCTAAGATGTATTATTGTGTATGTAGCGATTTCCTTACGAATCAGTGAAGTAAACCAAAGTAAATGTGTTGATGCATTCTCTGTATTTATAGGAACATGTGAAACTTGAGTTTTAAGCATTTTGCATCAGAATCTTTCATTTTCTCATTAAGAGCCATACTTTATATGGGAAATAATTTAAACACAAATTAATTAAATTTTGTTTCTACTTTATTTCTTTAACCTCTTGATTTTTCCAGGTTTTTTTTTCCCTTTGACTTTTTGTATTCCTTTTTCCTTCTCTTCCTTCCATCTGTAGCTATTTTCCTGCTTTTTTTTTTTGAGAGAGGGAGATCACTGTGTGGAATAGTAGCTAGTAAGAGTTGGGTAATATTTGAGCAATACCATGTTTGGGGAAAAAAACACCATCATTTAAGTGGTACCTTTCAAAATAGCTAAAAGGTTACATATGGAAAGCAAAAAAATTCAAAATAGCAAACAAACTAGACTAAAAATCAATCAAAATGTCCAAAGTTAAAACCAAGTAAAAGAAGGTCTTTGATACTAAATGAATCTAGAACAGTCCTTAAAGACTTGTTGAATTTAGGAGCGGGAGTCAAAGAGGATCCTTCATCTTAAAGAAAAATCTATTGCTAGTTTCACTGCAGAAATTGAGAGCAGGACCTAATATCATCATGCTGCAAGGCAAGATGCAGTTTCCCACATGGTTGTGGACAATATTACTCAATCATGAAGACTTTGGGAGAAATGCTGACCACCTCCCAGAAACACAAGGGAAACTGCTATTTGGGCCTTTTTGTCATTCTGTAGTCCTTGGCCTCCCAGAGTTTTCTGAGGGCAGCTGTTCTCTTTACCAGCTTCTGGAGGTTTTCAAAGCAAATAATTGCTAGGTTATATTTGGAGTCTTTAACATGTCAGTGACAGGTTTGGGACCTGCATTTTAGGAGTGTTGGTAACATAATAACTAGCTTGGCAGGGGGAAAAGAGGAAGAACTAGATGGGGATGGGAGCACAGTTACGGCCACAAAAAGATGCTTGAAAGGTCAGAGTGGGCTCTCTGCTGCTTTTCTTACTCTTACTTTTTCTCTCCATCATTTTCTTTCTTGCAAAAGGTTCCAGGGTTTAATGGTTGGGAAAGGGGAGAGGAACTCTTTTTCAAATTCCTTGTTGAACTTTTTGTACTTCTCTGCAAATTACCCCGCATTTCCCTCAGACTTGAGACAATACAGATGAAATTGGGCATGTGTAACTCTTACACTGCTAAATCAGTGTTAAAATCTTACTGTAAAAGTGGTATGGTCAGACCTTCCTCACTCAAATTTTAGAGGTGTAGACAAATAACATTTTGAATTTCATGAAGTTGCTTTAATTTGATCTACATATCTGCATGAACAAGAGCAAGGATTTACTTACAGTATGATTTTGGAATTGTGTTAGTTGTAAGGAAATATGCAGGAGGCAATATTTATAGTAAAACATGATTTAAGATTCTTTTAGAATTGGGGATTGTCTTGAGATAAAGCTTCTTTTGATTTCTTTTTTTTTTTTTTTAATTAAAAAAAGGATTGCTTTCTTTAAGTGTCTAATTAAGAAATGGGTGAACAGAGCTGGTATTCTGTCTGTCCCAGTAAGTAATTTGATCTATATTTTAAGTTACTTTAGTTTTCTATACTTTTAGGGAAAAAAGCTTTTTTTTTTTTTTTTTTTTACTTCAGAGAATTTTGGAAATGCTGACGTTGAGGTTAGAGATACTTCAGATTGGCCTGGTATATTGCTGTATAGCAGGAAGAAGAGCTATATGTGTGTGCAGCATTAATTGAATTACTTGTAGTGTTAAGATTAATCTTTTGAAAGGCTTTGTTTAGCAAAGGTTTTATGTACCTCTGATTATTATATTTTTATTTTTCTCCCCTCTCTCTGTGGTATTAGCTTTAAAAGGCCAAATTACTACTGTAAGTCAGAATAAATAACTTTCAATTTTCCATAGGAGCTGAAGTTAAAAGATGAAGAATGTGAAAGGCTTTCTAAAGTGCGAGATCAACTTGGACAGGAATTGGAAGAACTTACAGCTAGTCTGTTTGAGGTTTGTTGGAGTCTTCGATGTGATATACTTAAAGGAAGCTGAGCTAGATGTTTTATGTAGAATCAGTATGTTGTATGCTGAATTTTTCTGCAATAAGCTTATAAAGGGATTTGTGTCCTGAAGACCCGAGTGTGCTGAATTAGAGGCTTGAGAGCAAGCAGTAGACTTTTATTTAGATGAAAGAGACCTTGAGCTTGTCAATCTGCCCAGACACAAAAGGAGGAAAATAAGGAAAGTATATCAGAAAGCTTAAAACTATTTAGGCTTATTTTTTGGCATAACTATTTTGAGGCAGCTTTTCCGTCTGACAGCAAGGCTATCTAGATAAGAGCTAAATTTGGGGTTGCCATGGTGACTAAATAAAAAAATAACATAGTTCCAGATCAATGGAGGTAGCAAGTACATAACTTAACCATGCTTTCACTTTTTGAATTTTGGGTCTGGCAGCATGCTACTCACAGACTTGAAAAGAACATTAATACTGAGTGATGCACCAGGGTGGAATCTGGTTACCTAGTGAGGAGCCTGAACTTTAAGTGAGACCTTTTCATTCAAGAAAAAGGCAATAGTGCCAGCAAAGATTGTGTGCTTCTGTTACACAGAAGAAAATCTTAAATCCATACTTGAAGCATGATCAGTTTTCATTTTGTCATAAGAATATATATAGGAATGCCTAGAGGCTAAGTTGTGATACCCATAACTGTCAGAATAAATTTCATAGTCCAGATGATTTGTATGTTTACCAAATCATATGTATTGGTTTTCAGCATATGCATAAAGATACAACACTGGGTATGTCTTAGAAACAGTATTTAAACCTATGATGTTGTATGGATATAAAAGTGCTATTAAAACCTTGAAAATACTTACATACAAAAATCAAATTACAAACTGCTCTGGGGGTTGGCCATGCATTTTATTTCATCATCCCAGTAGGGCAAAGTTACTTAAAATATTAAGCAGTTCCTGTGCATAGAGAATAAATGGGAGACTGGAAAGGTACTTCTTAACATAAATACTTGTGTATATTGGGGGGAGGAAGAAAATGTGGGGCAGATATTTTATCTGTAGAGGAATAAAAATAAAATTATTGGTGAAATTTTATATTAATGACAATAACTTAGAACAAAGCTACAAATTTGTTAAAGCCATGTGTGAAATATAGCGTATTAATAACAATTGAGTTTTAGTTATTCAGGACTCCCAACTGTTGTGGGCATGTCACTTGAACTTTCTCTTGTAATTTGATTTCACTAAGAGGACCTAACAAAACAGTGTTGAGGTTTCTTGATTTTTGCACTGGGATCCACAGCCCTTGAATTAATGTTCTGTTCTGAATCTCACTGATTTCAGTGACCATAGAAGTGGATAGGCTGGACCTTATATTAATGCATCCCAATGAAGGATCGAGACTTGTTTGGCACAGCTGGGTGTATATATTACATTATTACACTATAATACCACTGTAACATGTTTTGCTTTCAAAGGTGCATCACTAAGCAGAAACTGCATGCTCAATGTTAAATGTATTTGTACACATTGTATAAATGTGTATGTTCCCATTCTTGCATGTGTATGTTGTTACTTAAGAGAACTTTACAAACCCATATTATACAGCTGTGTTGTATGCCAGTGGGAGCCAGATCATTTGGTATGATGATGGATGAACTTTTTTGTTTATTTATATAGCGTCCAGATACGTGCTAGGCGCTTTACAGATATGAGCAGGTTCCTATTCAAAGTAACTTAGTCGATGGCCCTGATCTTTCAAGCTTTGTTGCCTTTAGTAAGTACTAAGTAAGAACAGTAATTTGATCACAGGCACAAATTGCTGGATCAGAGCCTAAATAAATACATTATGCAGACAAAAGGCGTAGAGGTATGAGGTAAAAGGAAGTTAAAAAAACTAAGTCCTTTTATACTTTCTTCTTTATTGGCTTAGCCTTGTTTCTTTACTTGGTTTGGTTTTTAGTGCCTTTTCTGTTCTACTTAAGAAATGTTTATTAATCCATAAACTGTTTCAAGCTGTTGCTTTGTCTGGTTTTTTAATGGTAAGAATTTAGACTTCATAGTAGTTCGACCAGTTCTTTCATGCAGGAACTTAGTTGACTGTAACTGGTTATTCTGGCTAGAAGAAGGGAGAAATTCTTTTGAACGTGCTACTGTGCTTATGTTGCTTTTGTTGTTACTGGTTGAGTCTTTCTCTTGGGGGTCAAGGAACTTGACTTGTGAGCCACTGAAGTGTGACTGGAGCCTGGCGTCCATCACAGGTATTGTTCCTGCTGGAGGGGGGTGGGTGGAGTTGCTGCATTTCTGAATCTGGGCTCAGGTCCAAGGAGAAGAAACTCGATGGGCCAGTGATGAATCCAAGTGATAGACTTGTAGGTATTTTTTAGTATGTAAATATTTAATTCCAGATTGTTGCACAATTTACTATTCACAAGTAGTCTCTGTAAAGCAAAAGTATATCCTTAGGGTTTTTTTTTTTACTGGATCTTGTAAATTGAAGCATTTACACTATCTAAACATTTTTTAATAGGAAGCACACAAAATGGTTAAAGAAGCTAATGTCAAACAAGCTGCAGCAGAAAAACAATTAAAAGAAGCACAGGGAAAGGTGAGTTTTTTCTGACTTGCTTTGTCTTTTCACATGGTTATACATCTGAAGTGTGAATCATAAAGTTGTAAATAGAACATTACCTGTGGGTATTATTAAAATATATACTGACTTGTTTTGTGTCGTGTTGACATATTGTCCTGGTTTTCTTACCTAACACCTGTGGACACAGAGCTGATGTTTCAGCATCCTATCAGATAGCTAGTAAGGTGCATGGGGAGCCAGGGTTACTACAGTATGCAATTGCATAGGCATCTGGGTGTTAGTACTGTTGGAAGATGAAGTCTTGATTTGAACTGACATAACTGGAAATTTTGAATTATTTAACATATCCATAGCCTAATATGATATTGTTTGTTAATGACTTCATCTTTTTCCCCCCCCAAGATTGATGTCCTCCAGGCTGAAGTAGCAGCACTGAAAACACTAGTACTGTCTACTTCACCAACATCTCCAACTAAGGAGTTTCAGTCTACAGGAAAAACTCCTTTTAAGAAAGGCCATGCAAGAAACAAGAGTACAAGCAGTGCTATGGGTGGCAGTCATCAGGACCTTACCATGATGCAACCAATTGTAAAAGACTGTAAAGAGGTAACAGTACAAGGATTGTCCTGTTTTTGCTGCTAAGCTGGCTTTACTGTTTTTGGTTTGGGTTTTTTGGGGTTTTTTTTGTGTTTTGTTTTGTTTTTTTTTTTCCTCTCCAGTAAATCTGGTATGTATCAAATCTTCATGTAGTACTGACTATTTTAGAGATATTTTTCATTAAAGAAAGAAATTTTTTTCTTACATACCAATAGGTGGTGGGTTTTCCAAGTCTTATTTACTTTTAGATCATTAAGGGAAGATGAGATAAGATTTGAAATATTGGAACTAGTAATTTGAAGATGAGAATTTAAGAAAAAAGAAAAAGAAAAATACAGTATAACTGAATGTTAAGTCCTGGTGACTTTTTACAAAGTCTGTCACCAAAGGTTCATAAACTTCTGTAGGGGCCACAAAGATGATGAGGGGCCTGGAGCATCTCCCATATGAGGAGAGGCTGAGAGAGCTGGGACTCTTCAGCCTGGAGAAGAGAAGACTGAGAGGGGATCTGATCAATGTCTGTAAATACCTGAAGTGCGGGGGACAAATGGATGGGGCCGGACTCTTTTTGGTGGTGGGTGGTGACAGGACAGGGGGCAATGGGCAAAAACTGGAACACCAAAAAGTTCAGTGCAAACCTAAGGAAAAACTTCTTTACTGTGAAGGTGACAGAGCACTGGCACAGGCTGCCCAGAGAGGCTGTGGAGTCTCCATCTCTGGAGATGTTCAAAACCTGCCTGGACGCCTTCCTGTGTAAACTGCTGTAGGGAACCTGCTTTGGCAGGGGGGGGGGGCCAGATGAGATCCTGAG